AATCTAACATTTACACAACTCAGTGTATAAGTACGAGTCATACACAACTTCACTGATAAAACTCTAATGCACTCTAGTGCATTCACACAAATACACATCGACTCAGTAACACGCTAATACACTTTGTGAATCATAAATAACAGTTTAATATGTTGATAGTTCAATACGTTTACAGTTCAATATGTTTACAGTTCAATATGTTTACAGTTCAGTACGTTTACAGTTCAGTACGTTTACAGTTCTTCAGGTAACAGTTCAACACGTTTACAGTTCTCCACATAACAGTTTAACATATTTGAGTATTCGAGTAACAGCCTAAGATTCTTGAATTTTCACTAATAAAAACTACGTTCATTTACAATATATTAAAACTTCATGTCCAGCAGCACTCTCATAACCTAACAATCCAACATTTCGTTAAGTAACAGTTCATTACACTTACAATGTCCCAGTTAACAGTATAAATCTTGTTTAATTGTCTCCAGTAACAATGAAACTAATTCATATGTTCTCATTTAAATTCTAATACAATTACATTGCTACAGTTATAATTAACTCCCATACACTCTCATGACCGTCAATGTCAATTTGTCAAGTGTGCCAGTTGATTAAGTACGTACCAACTAACTTTATTCACATTCACTATTTATCATATCCAAGTGCATCACTATTTACCAATACCTGACACCGTACAGTCACCCCCCCCCCCCAACACCACCCATCCTGGCATAATGTCTCAATACATACTTCACTCTGACATATTATGAACTTGTAAGAAATAAAAAACTAAGATTAAACAGAAAAACATTTGTCTTTTGACTTTTCGTGCAGGTCTACGAAAAAAACGCCATCAAGTTGAATTAAGTGTCATGTAATTGGAATAAATGCCTTAGATATTATTCACATATGCACAGGAATGTCAAGGCTAAAATGAGTTCCTCGCTATTTCTGTACAAGTCAATAATCACACCTTGGTTAAGGATAGTCAATTAGCATGACACGTGGATGATGAAAGGAAAAGGAAGAGGAAAAATAAGATGGAAAGGTAAAAGAAGAGATGATGAAAAAAAGAAAGAAATAGACATGTAGGGAAAGATGATAAAGTGACAAAAAATATAGAAAACAGAGGAAAATGATTTAGAAGATAAAAAATGCGAATGAGAGAAAGAGAGAGAAAGGGAAGGGAAAAACAAATATGAGAAACAGAGAATCCAAAAAAATGAGAGGATATGAAATAGAATGAGAGACAGATAAATAAAGTGTAAGAGAGGGATAGAAGCAGACAAATACTTAAGCAACTACACACACACACACACACACACACACACACACACACACACACACACACACACACACACACACAAGGAAGAAAAAAAGAAAGTATAGAAATTAAGGACGAAATCCATTAAATTATATTAAATTATAATAAACAATGACCAATACTTTACCACAAACAGTTTTCAACCACAACTTGTAAAGAGTATTTTACAGATTTAATTTCCCTTGCATGAGTAAACTGGTTTTTATCATTAACATTCATTACAAAAAAATTCCTTATCATTATGTCCACAACAAAGACATTCCATCCCACTACGTATCACAAAATAAGGAATTAAGTCAATAGAATTCATTTTAAGTTTGGAAGGTTTTACATTTTCTTCTTTTTTTTTTCTTTTTTAGGAGGGACAACAATAATTGGTTTTAAGTCGAGGAATCCTATACTTGTAAATGGGAAGTTCTGTAGTACAGGGGTACATAGGAAGCTACAGACAGCCTCTTTTAGACTATTCGGTGATGCCTGCCTAATTCTGAGCTAAAGTGGGTTGCCACTGAACAAGACTAGCTAGCTAATTGGACTACATCTAACTGAAGAACTTTCAACTAAAGTACAGTATACACACCAGTGAATCATAATGTAAATACTGCCACTTTAGGGAGACAGATTTTAGCTTAGGAACCAATAAGGAAAGCGGAGCGTTGGTTCTATTAATTAGCCAATCACACTTTTACCACAAACTGATAAATATGAGCCAGTGACAGCACATATATTTCCCTGAAGAGAGTAGTTGGTAGCAGTAGTTCACTGGGAGGCGTAGTGAGAAACGCTGACGTAATATACAGTGACGTCAGCATCTAAAAACAATATCAGGGGGCCATACTGTCTCCTCACCTACAAGTGCACATAATAAAGGCTTTTATGCCTAACTTTTCAAGGCAGGCATTTTTCTATTAATATCACAGCCTCTCCCCTCTGTTGATTAATATGTTAGTGGTTACTCTCCTATACATTATACATATTTTATCTCAAAAGTTTGATCATCGCTTCAAAATTCTCTCATCAATACCTGCTTATTCAAAATTACGAAAGTAATGGAGGTTTGATGCAGAACAGACACATCTGAGTAGACATATAATAACGCCTTTAAGGCTTGAAATGGAGACACTGATTCCTGGATGTTTTGTTATCGATCGTGAAGAAAGATTTAATGTTGTTCTTTAAGAGTATATACAGTATATTGTAGTCTTATATTATACAATAAGTTCCTGCTCATTATAAACAGGGAGATGGTGTTAAGTCACCACTGCTTGCAGCTATTTATGCTGAGTTCTGTATTGTCATTTAGTATTTTCTAGTTTATAAAACTCCTGCAAGAATACAGACATCAAATATTTGTCGCTCTATACTTAACGGCAAAATATATTATGTCAACCCTTTGGTACATTATACATATGATCCTTTTTTATCACGGTGAAAAATTTAAATATTGCTTTTAAAACTTTGGTAAAACAGTACAGTATCTCTTCATCACAACCATCAAAAGACTCTCAGAATACAATATGGTAATCAATATGCTATCACAGGCTGTCAAATTCTTTGGGCTCTGAAGGTTAAAAACTTCACAGTATGTTATGGTAGGTCAGAGGCACCAAGACAACAGAGACATTCATTAAAATACACTCAACAACAATTACACAAAGGTTCTGTTGACGAGGTTTTTTTCCTACAATGTTTCGGCCTCAATACTGTTTCCCTGTCATCCTCTACTACTTTTCATCAAGACTAAAAACAAGTCTATATTCTGCAAATATAAATACCTATTTCCTGAATAGATTTGTAAATACTTCTTACTCTAAAAAGATGCCTAATATAAGTTGATTTCATATACTTAATATGCTGCTACATGTAAACACCATTTTAACACAATCGCCTCCAAAAAGACTTGCAAAGAAACAGACCACCTTCCAGTTCTGCACCGCTCAGCAGACGACACAACGAACTATACTCTCTCCACGCTAACATGACCCGTAGACCAACGCCCCTCTTCTATACCAATAGCCGATTGGTTCATAGAAAATTAAAATTAAATGTGTTCACAATTAGTAAGCAGACCTGTTATTATCTAAAATAATGTTAAATATATGGATTATCAAAATGCAAAGCATTTCAAGGCTTTAGCACTTCAGAGAGGATGTGAGAAAATGTTAAATATTTATTATTAAAGGTCAATATAAATACGCGCTTATATATGCGTAGTCCGGGGGGAGGTAAAACGCTCAGGGAAACCAATCAGCTATTTGTAGCTAAAGACGAGGGGCGTAGCTAACGGGCCAGCTGAGCATGGAAATACTTATGGGTACACACTAGAACGGTGTTGCTAGTAAGTAATCTCATCATCTACTTGCCACAAAAGGTTGGCACCGTGATTGATTTGATGTTTGGATATAACGCATTTGAAACATGAAGTGCAGCATGGCACAGTAGTTTTAACTCGTCTATCTAAAGAAACATTCCGAAACAGAAAATCAAACTTCTCAAGCCGGTTTTATATCAATGACATAATATATGCTGAGCTTAAAATCCAACCTATCTTGTAAACATTTACCACCAATACGTGTTTGAAACAAACATTCTTTTGAAAAACTTGAGTATGTACTACATACTATTAAAATTGTAGGGTTAAGATGGGTAATTAGGCGACTTTTTTATATTTACAGCAAAATACTCCGTGATATGTAAAATACCTATCTTTCGGACATGCTATGGTATATTTCGGTCGATAATACCCTTCTTGCTGCAGCTGCTTGTTACATTATCGCCTGCGGGTAATTTATTTATCTTTCTGTCTTTGTAGATACAGGTATGATGTATTCATTCTTTGTGAAATGCAAACAATAAAACACTGAGGATTTTCCCATTACGGACATTCAAAAACCCTTCTCATACTTTTTTCTTACAGTGTAATGATGAGGGTTTGGTTAACATTTCTTATAAAATGAATCCACAGAGACGAAGCATCTTCCTCTTTACTGGTCGACTCTGGACGGGTGATATCTATTCAAAAGCTCTGTAACAATATTTCAAAACAAAGATGAAAGGCTTGAATGGTTTCCATCTAAAAATTCACTTGTAAGTACCAACAGATTGTATAATAATACATTTAGGTACGTTGTTATATCACTACAGCTGTGTTTTCAGGTACAGTCAACCCTCGCTTTACGCGGTCCCACTTTACGCATTTCCACGTTTACGCCGTACCCTGCCGAAACCGGACTGCTCACTTTCCGAGGTGTGTGTACCCTTTTACGAGGAGAGTGGCGCAAGCAAGGTGCGCACAAGGTCGCCCAGTCATCAAAACATTACCGAGTTCTTCACCCGCCACCCACCACAGCCGGCCCAAGTCAGTGATAGTGATAATGATAGTGAGGATATGGACTTTGAGGGGTTTGACAAAGAGGCCCTGCAAGCCTCTGTGGTGGATAGTGATACAATTGATACAAGTGATACAGGTGAGGGCCAATAATCTGCCCTCTGCCTCGGAACCAACCCCCCATCCCCGTGTGCCCAGCCATCTTTTTTACTAATGTAAGTGTTAAAAAACTTAATATTATTGATATTTCTCTTAATTATTAATTGTGTGTGCATACCATCATAAAATTAAGAAGTTATTTTTACTACAACGTAGGTATTGTGTCTGAAAAAGTGGAGTTTGGGGGTCGGACCCGGTCTCTATTTCAATTAATCCCATATGTTATGTTGTTCACTTTACGCGTTTCTCACTTTACACGGGCCGCCGTGGGTTGAATTAACCACGTAAAGTGAGGGTTCACTGTATTTCATCGACAAATACATTAAATTATATAAACGGGAATACTATGAATTCATTTCATTGTTATCTTTTATACAACTGTCAACGACACAATGTAAAGACATCTATTAATTTTATATTGAGGCCTGTGGGACATAACACCCCTACTGGCGTCTAATTCACTGTTTTATCCACTAAGCAGCACAGATTTGGAAAGTGGTCAATTACATTAAAGGAAACTATAGCACTGCTGTGTCTTTATATACTGCAGTGCAGTAATACTTCATTTAAATAAATTTAAACATTTGTGTTTTGCACAACACACATGCTCCCGTTGGCCATAAATTGGGACTCTAGTCAGGTCATATAAGAATGAACAATTAGTAGAATTTTGGTGAACATGATTGTAACCCTGACGTTTGATCCCAGCCTCCAGAACCTAATCAAGAGTGGAACTTCGTAGGTATTACCTGTGGTACAAATTTGGTCAATATCCACTCACCCAGTCTTGAGATACTGTGTAAACAGGGTGGGGACGGACGCACAGACAGACGTGTGGACAGGGCAAACCAATGTAACCCCAACCTATGACGAGAGCATTAAATTTTCATATTTGATATGCAACAATACTAACACAGATTCTGTATAAGTTTCTTATAACCATACACTGTTGAATTTCTCAAATCCGTTACATAATTTCCTTCGGACAAATCTGATGTAAGATTTTGAAATTTGTTTGTTTACATTAGATTTTAAATGCATATATGCAGTATGTCTAATTGATCATGTAAAATATGATATGAATGCCTTTAGTTTAATACAGGAATATTTATGCTAAATACAACACAAACTTTAAATATGTTTCCATTTATAAAACATGTACAGTACAGTAAATACAATTACCTATGATCAAACTGTACATGTCACCATAATAAATAATTCTAAATATTGTCATTTCCTTGAAGAAAAAAAAGTGTATATCATTATTTTAATCCAAGGATATTATTATTACACGTATTATTATTATTACTGTATTAACATTATTCTAGGGGTACTGTACTTGCTAACCTTTTGTTTTTAATACTTCATTTTTTTTTTTGTATATTTCCTAAACCTGAAAACTATTGACAACACTCTATCATTGGTAAACAATTGTTAAAGCAATTTATCCTCATGTTTAAATATTTAGGTACGTAGTGTGTTCCCTTTAACATACTACCACATATTTGATTACTCAAGTACATTTTATCATTGCCTAACATCACACAGTCTAAGGTAATCTTCTACCAAGGTGATCTAAAACTTTGTGCTCGCTAAGACTTTGTTAATCAAAGTAAAATGTTCAATAAAGCATCAATACAGTTTCACTATGGCTGTTCCTCATTTCTAAGGAAAATGTAACTCTATTGGTTGGCTTCATAAATTTCTGATCAGCTGATTAAACTGATCAAGTTGGTTCTGTGTGTCCAAACACTTTGTCCTTCATTGACTGAAGAGTTCGGATGAGAGGCAAAAGCAGCTGCTGGTGATGATCGTGAGGAAGAGGAGCTGTATCACTACTGGGTGAAGGTTTATGGATGACTGCGGTGGATGACTTGGATGAAGGAGTGGAGTCTACGACTAGCGTGGAAGAAGTGATGCTGCTGTAGATGATGAACTGGATAAAGACAATGATTGTGCTGACGTAGGGCTTTGATGACGATATTAGTGCAGATGTTAGATGCAGTGATGATGGTATAGGAGATGACTAGAATGGTACTTCAACATATAAATGAAAAGAGTAACACTGCCTTGACTAAGAAGACATCACTATTGAAACAAGTGAGAGTTAGCGGGGAAAACCTGCCATATGACAATGACGAGAGAGGGAGATGACAGAAGTATGGAACGAGAAAAAGAAATTGTAAAGTAAAAGAGGTTAGGTTTAGTTAAGAATTCATTAAAATTGAATGTCAAATGACACAACTAAGAAAATTTATACCGAAATTTAAAACCAAAACTATATATAAATATCGTTTAGAAAGAAACAAGATAAAATATGTACATAACATGTGAGACCAGCATTTCACACACTGTCATTCTCCAACTCTTAAAAGAGAATCTACCGATTAAATGTTCATGGCTAAATAGTCTTCATATTGCGTCAGGAAAATATGCTTCTTTTTAACCTTTAAATAACTGCATGCAGGTAGGACTTGTGATAATGACGTAAAAATGACAAATTGGTAATTCTTGATTAGACTGCTAAAGCAAATCAATAACAACATAGAGCCAACACAGAGCCTCCTGGAAAGCAAATTACTGAAATAAGCTGATCATTTATATCTGTGGCTTCACACAAAGTTCATTTATCTCTCTGAGTGGACCCAAAGATCAAAGCATTCTATGGGAGGTCACAAAGGTCAGCAAGTGAGGCAGCGAAGTCTCCGTCGAGTAGCAGAAGTCTCCGGTAGGGAGAGGACCCACTTACGGAGACCGGTTAGAAAGACGCTTGATACCACCAGGAGAGCACCAGTCAGACTGAGCCTGTCTGGTAGCTCCTGGAAGAAGATGGCTTGCCAAATGAAGGCGAAGACAACGTCGGCTGTCCTCGCAATGGAGACAGGTCCTGCTTGTTCCAGCTGCAGGGCCTTCGTCAAGAGTATTTGTCCACTGAAGCTAAAGGCCCCAATAACCAGAATTAGATATCGCTCACTGCCACAGCGAGGAACACACAGGTCACCTCTCAACCATGACACCACTGGGGTCAGGATCAGGGCCACAACTGCGAAATTGGTCATGATCACAGAGAAGTGCAGCCCCTTCAGCACCCGCAGAATAACGTACACATTCGCGGCGACAACGGTGCCACCGATGGCTGCCGCAGCGCCCCACCAGTTGTCCGCCGTGTAGGCATCTGACAATGAGCCAAAGAGCACTGGAGGGCGGGCAATGAGCACAACCCCAGTGATAGTCAACATAATCACACCACCGTGAAATAGTCCAAATGGCTCCCCAAGAAACACTCGCGCAAATACCGCCACGAATACTGGTACGCTGAAAACAATGACGGAAGCATCAGCGAGAGGCATGTGTCTGAAGGCGTAGAACTGCGACATGAGAGAAGTGGCCCCCACCAGACCTCTCATTACAAGCATAAGGCGGAAGCCTCGAGGGAAGGGTGATTCACCTGTGCGCACCAACAGAGGAAGCGTAGGCAAAAGAATACCCACGAACCGGGATACTGCCAGCTCCATCGGGCTCACATCTGACAATATCTGCGGAAAAAAAATCATCATTAACCAAAGTACAGCACAGGAAAATATTAAGACAACAATGAGCACTGGCCATAAACCATAATATTGATACAGTAATTTTGATTTATCTCGAAAAGAAAGAAATATTACCTTATTACCGAAACCTTAAAATCTATCTATTTCTCTGTTAACTTTTCATTTACCTAACCTAATGATAATTTACATGTATACGAATGATACTAATGAAGCAGATATTACCAGGAGTAATTGAACAATGAACATAATAAATATAGTCGTCAGGTACACAGATACAACAATAATAGTAAAGCCATTAACATTATCAAATGCACGAGTCACTAAGTGAACTTACACATTATGTAATTTTTTTTATGTATTTTGTTCATTTTGTATTTATTCATAAATAATTCAACCTTCCCCTGAAAGGAACCCAATAGGAGAGATTTTTTGAAGCAGCAGTTAGCACATAAGGTAGAAGGTATCAAGTGGTTTTGTCCCATCAGCCTAAGCACAAAACCAGTCACATACTTCGACCAAGTTGGACTTTCTAGACTTCAATCTATGCAGTTCAAGCCAACTTTCATCAAGTCTTGGGAAGACTCATCACCTCTTTCACCAAGTCTCCACAGTATAATTTTTTACTCAGTCTTTCGTATGGCCATTTTTGCACGAACAAGAATCAAATGATTAACCCCCTGAATATCCTCACTGTCGACCAAATTTTAACATCATGTTAATGAAATATCAACCCTACACCCGGCACTATCAATAGGGGTAAAACGTTACTCGCTAAATATTGAGAAAAACAATAAAGGCAGAACCTAACGAACATATACAGCACTCGTGACAATGGCTCCTTGAATTCTGCTCACTGTTAGGTGTAAAGATGTATATCCTCACTCGTAAGAAATCACTTTTCAAACCAAGAATACTATATGACGGCATTACTATAGTAACATAAAAAACGCGTGCAGGACGTCACGTTACAAGCGTCAAGAACAACTGATCTGACCAAATAACAGCAACATTAAAAGTTTAAGGGTGATGTGATTCATTGTTATTTCCACTTGGGTACTTAAGGCGGGTTAAAGGGTCCTGCAGCTACTCTTGGGTCGTGCATCTCTTCAGAGTATGACACTGTGGAAGGTCGTAACTCAGTGTTGTGGAAAGCCTGAGTATATAGACCATCACGAACGTCCTTCTTCTTTATAGAACATAACAGCTCACAATAAACACTCGAATTAAAATTTTCTGTACTTTCAGAAGACACAATACGAAAGAAATGGCCTAACACAGTGATAAAATAATCACTGTCTGGAGTTCTTATCCTTTATGCAACCTCAAAACGAGTCGTCAACAAAATTACACAAAATTTACATTGCAGGGTACTCAAAGCCCAAACATTTCCCAACAACAACAAAAAAGAAGTGAAAACTGAGGTAACCAGCCATTAAACTCTTCTACTGACACAAGTAAAGGCTAAAGCAGTTAGTTCCATCTCCCTTCAAGGATATCAAAGGCTTTACTGTCAGTGAGTTATCCAGGCAGCATGAAGTCGTGGTTGGTAATGAATGAACTGAAGCTGGAATCTATAATTGCCGACCCAGTTGACATGCGAGGTGCATCCTGTACATACATGCTGAGGTGACATCAATACTCGTTGTTTTCTTCCTTAAGTCGTAAATATTGTCTCTAAAGATTCCTTCAAGGGAAATGGTTATGTTAGGAAGGTGAAACTGATTGATAGACCCAGCAACTACAGTCTGAGGGGCTATCTAAAATTTTAACCTCTGGACATTGATCTATAATAAGTGAGTCCAGGAAGAAGGCCATAGAAAGTGTTACATTATGTACACCGTTCTGAAATACTGAGCCACATCTCACTCCCATTGTCAAAATATCAATACTACTCCGCAATCACTGGTTCAAACTACAACTTTAAAATATAAATGATGATACTTTGCAGTCATTACACAAATTACTGGGAAAGTAAAAAAAAAAAACACAAAAACATTGTAATTTTTAGTTTCAAAAGTAAAGAGAAGAACCTTGGAAGCACTAAAGAGGTTTATACCTTCCCTCCATCTTGCAAAACCTTATAAAACATAACACACTCTGCCGTGTCCAAAACTCCATAAAGAGAACAAAAGAGGGAAATATAATCATCAAGTCATCATAATAGAATCCAACCCTACATGCTCATTAAAAACAGAATCATGTATCATAAAGCATTGTAATGTGCATGAGAAAGGTCTCCAGTGCATAGGAGGATAATATTAGTTACGATAAGAAACAAAAGTGTTGTTGTTTACCTTGACGAGGAGTGAGCAGAGGGAGAAAAAGAGGGAGGAGAGGACAGCCATGAAGAGTCCAAGATGGGGAAGCGCATACCTCTTGGCTCCCTTCTCTGCAACACCCCCCTGTGGAGACAACACGTACATTATTCTATCGTCATGTGGCGTTTACGTGCATCAGCCCTCTATACTAATACAATAACCAATAAACTCCAAAACGCCGCCAAGGACCCACCTGGTGGCGAGAGTAAGGTGGGTGTTCTCCCTCCACCAGGGGCTCCAGCTCTATGTTGGTGTCAGGTCTGGGGGAATGGTGCTGCGGTCGGTGATGGTGAACGTGTCGGACCATCCTGAAGAGGGCGAGGCACAGAGCCCTAGCACACCTATTCTCCTGCTGCTGCTGCTGTTGCTCTTGTGACGTCTCCACTCACACAAGCCCATCATGCCTGCCGAGAAAGACATACTGGTAAAGTTCATCAATCATATGCAAGAAGGATAATTCTGAAGGATAATTCTGAAGGATGATCAGGAGGTGTTAATGGTTGCCCATCCTGTATTATATTGTAGTTAATATGCATCTTATGCTCTCTGCACATTGTGATCTAAGGCTTAATGGCCCATGGACCTAATTCTGAGCAAAAAATAATATTTCCTCATCAATAATATTACAGAAAAAAAACAACTTCGTCCCTCACAGTGTTGTTAGTATCAATTATTATCGTAACAAAAACGCACCCAGCGTAGTACATACACATCTATTACATCACGCTCGGTGTCGCTCTCTAAACGCATGGCTGTGCGTCTGAGGACAAGTATCTGCAGCGTGGCACACTTGATCAATGACGCTTGATAACGAGAGAAAGTGAGTGAATGTGAGTGATAGGGAAGGCGTGAATGAGTGAGAGAGAGGAAGAGAGAGAAGGACAGAGTCAGCGTAATAGGAACCCTCCCTCCTGCCCCCAATACCTCCCAAGGCACACCCTGGCAGGCACATTCTGACACTCAACACTTAAAGTACCATTGAAGCTTAAACTGGGTGCATAATGGCAGCATTTGTTACTTTTTGTGAAGATATCCAGTGATAAATGAAGCAGAAGAAGATAAAATGCACATAAAAAATACTGTATGATCTCAGACTAACAGTGGTCGCACATTTTGTCATCCGTGAGAGAGATAGACAGATAAGAAAGACAGAAAGAAGAAAGAAGAAACAGATCAACAGGTAGACAAAGAGGAATTTTAATAACCACCCTAACGCATATCTGTACAAATAAACGGCATGTAAACACACACACACACACTTTGTGGAATCATGGGAACCTGGATCTCCTGCTTAATATTGGTTCCATCCCTGAATGGTAGTAAGGTATGGAGGCCAAAAAACATCAAGACTACAGGTAATATAGTCATCTCCTCGTCACAGTGCAGGTAAGAGACGGAAGATAATTGGTGGGCGACAGAGGTTAGAATATGGGGCAGCTGGAGAGTCGCCTTGGCTAAGTTATACCTCGTTGGTTATCATTTTCTTCTAGTAAGAGAGAGTGGCGGCAGAGCATGAAGGGGGAACTCCTCTGTGTGTGGCTGTGTGTGTGTGTGTGTGTGTGTTCCTCCACTCCACTCTCCTTCCCCATCCACTCCACTTTCCTTCCCCTCCCATCCTCCCCATCCCCCCTCTCCCTTCATTGATTCAACACCGTCACCTAACCCCATTTCCATCAGTATTCACGAAACACAAACACCTCCAGGACCCCAACAGGATTCGAACCCACACTTCTCATAAAGCTAGCGAGGGCTCTACCATCCACAGTATATTACTTGTGGCTAAAAGTCGACTTAATTAACCACTGCGTCAATAGAGCTAGCTGGTAGAGGCACCCTTGCTTTCAATCTCGGCTCGAATGTTGTCTTTATGCATCTCACTCCTGTCACTGAGAACTTATAGGTCAATACCAAGATGCCAACCAGAATTACTCAAATGCCAATCAACATTCATGAAACATATCTTGACTCTCACTCACCAGTTACTGAAACACAAGAGACGTTCTGTGACCCAGGCAGTCTTAACATGCCATCTCTCTGCCATACAGGTGAACTTATTTGGAGTTTAGGCCAAATTTTCACATAAACGACTCCCCTGGAATGCACAGTGAAGGCTAATGAGATGGGTCATGGTATGGTTTCTGAGAGAGGAGACGGTGGAGTTAATAAAAAATGCTAAGAGAGAGAGAGAGAGAGAGAGGGGGGGGGGCAGAAAGACAGAGGTTACAGGTACTAATAATCCATGGAAGTGTGACGACAGAGACGGTGAAGGATCGTAGAGGTGTGACCATGAGATGGATGGAGATGTAAACACCACTAATTACTCCTCTGACCTTCAACAACACGTTACGATATATGGGGTGAGCGTGACAACAAAAAAGGCGTCACATAAACACCAAGAGGTATCTTAGAACTTGGCAAGGGTGAGGGGTTAAGGGAGGGACGGAGGGTACATCATTATGGTCCTGGACAGATAAGGGTGACTAGACGGTATAACTGGAAACACTACACTCGTCTCTAAACATATTGCCATAATTTTTAACACGCGTAATTTTATATTAATTTATTTCTCCTACATGATGTTATTTTTTTTTTCATTTAAAATATACACAATTTATGTTTGGAATAATATGGTAAAAATCATACGAGTAAATATATTATTACGATTACCTACGCGTTCATATACTTTTTGTTTATTTATAAGGATGATATGTCTTCTTCTTCTTCTTCTTCTTCCATCATAAAGTAAAGTCTGTCAGGTGATGATGGTGTGAGAAGTCCAGCAACGTTGCGTTTTATATTTCCTCAAACAACCACCACTTCTCTCAATCCTCTCCCTTCACATCCGCAAACCCCCGCCCACGCTAAGTTATGAGAGACAATGGCAGCCTCGGGTGTCGCAATTCTCACCGCATCCTCTTCTTCCATGGGCCACCGGAGATGATGATAACCGAATAACAAAAAAAAAAAAAAATGATGGGGGTGACACTTTCCCCTGCCTGGATGTATTGCCGGAGTAAGTTACCTAACAGAAGCACGTTAAGGCATCCCTATCAAGCACTACAGCAGTGAAATGTACAAGGTGTCTATAATTTATTCACCTGATTATGAAGCTGAATAAATATCTTACTGTAAAAGATATGATGAAACGGTTTGCTGCAATTAATAAAGCAACTCAGGTAATCTTTTGATATGTATTTGGCACACATAACTGCACTTCAGTAAACCTCCACATGGGTCCCTTTGGTAGCACGTAGAATATCAAGACGGTAGCTGATTCCATTCGAGGAGTTATGCAGCATGTCTAGCACACTGTCAGTTTCTTGATACTGTTTCAGACATCGCCTGAGTGGTTGCTCTGTTGGCGGATTTTTCTGGAATTCACACCGGAAACGTCTCTGTACAGTTACTGGAGATTTGGTTTCCCACAACTACAGCACACACATTACTCTCTCGTTCACGGTCGCCATTGTACTGCTGTACTGTCACAATTCACGCTGGTAGCAGTCCTGCCAAATACATGTCAAAAGATTACGTGAATTTGCTGTATTAATTGCAGCAAACCGTTTCATCATATCTTTTACAGTAAGATATTTATTGAGCTTCATAATTAGCTTCATATTTCAATCATGTAAGCCAGCAACTTTCACCAGTATATACAAACCAAGAAACCACAACATAAAAAAACAAAGATAATAACAGAAGAAAAATATATCTTGTTTTAGTTGTTAACAAATAGCAAACAAAGACAACAGAAACATCACTACCAGCACCAATAATAGCAGCAGTTATCTCCTACTTGAGGCAGTAAGCACCTCCTAGAGCCTCCCGTCACTTCTTCCTGGTACATGATCGACCATCACTGCAAGAGGCGTGAGGTGGGGGGGGTGATTTGCAGTGTCACGTCTCTCCTTGTTGATGCTTTCTCTCGTTGCTCACCGTACATGTTGGGTCTATTGTAAATCTGGGCTTCACTGTTTTTGTTAAGCTGACTTTATTTGTGCAACAACATGGTGGATGGGAATTACTTCAATAGAAAATGTATGGATTGCTAAGCTTAGGTAATATATGAGAGAGAGAGAGAGAGAGAGAGCATAATAAATGGTTCCTCAGTAAAGACAGAGAACGGACAGAGTTTCTCAATCACAAACACAAGTTGAAACATTTTTACGACCATTCCAACGAACAGGAAAACTACACTGTGTCATAATTTAATAGCTAACCAAAGTATTCTGATGAAAGTTACTGTATGATCCCGGTAATTATCGCATACATGCTTAGCGGACTGTAAACATGAGCGCATTTGTACACCATCTTTCGTACATAAGAGGACAAAGTAGAGACACACAACCGTATACTCAAACAGTTTCACGTTTAACAAGAGACGATGAGATGGTCAACCTATACCGTCTGTCACGTGAGCGAGGTGTTACGTATGACAGATTAACTGAGGAAGTCACCCCACGGCGTCATTCACGGTGTCACTTATTCATTTAGGCTTAACGTTACTCTTATATATAGGCCAGGCGTCACTCACTTACTCGTATACGCTTGGCGTCACTCGCTCATATAGGTCTGGCGTCACTCACTTCCTCATTTACGCCTGGTGTCACTCACTCACAATACGCCTCGAGTCTTTCACTCACGCTCAGTAGATCTGGCGTCACTCACTCATAGGCCGGGTGTCACAGCGATCACTACATAATTTCATAGTAACAATGTAAATATTTCGATATTTATTCTGCCATGGTAACGGTTCGTAATTTCCTGGATGTGTGGGAGAGATTCCTCACTGGATTTTAAGGGACACACAAAAACAAGAACAACGTATTGCAAGTAGTATATAATTATGTAGTGTGTGTCAATATAAATAAGGAAAACACACACACACACACACACACACACACACACACACACACACACACACACACACACACACACACACACACTTTGTAGTAAACTAAAGCAGCTTCGCGTAAAGGTTACACGTGCATTGAGTGTATCACCTGCCAGGAAGTTCAACATCATAAGTAATCAATAGTTAAGTAAGGCAGTTAGTGGCAGCTCTACCGAAGATGTAATTACTGGGAAGTGGAAATAATGACGGCGTTCCTAACTAGTAATTCGTAACGTAACAAGTGACGCAACATAGGAGGAAAGAGAGAAAATGAGGAGAATTTGTGAAAGTAAATAAAGAATAACAGATAATAAGCATAAAAGACAACAAAAACAAGAGTGAAGGAGAGGCCATATTACTATATTTTCTATGACAGTTGTGATAAAATAAGGTGTTTGCATTTGTCATAATAATAATGTTTTTAGTTCCCCATTGAGTCTTTTCCCGCTAAAAACATAAAACAAAAATAATAACAACAACAACAAAAACTACATAAATAAATAATAATAA